TTATTATAAAGGACTCTCCTACCATTAACACATTATATATTAAACAAATAATATTACCAGTCAAAACTGGAATCGCACTGGCTTTATACTAAAACCACTTCTTAAAACATAAATATATATAATTTAACATTTTAGTGTTAATTATGATATATGACATATTTTGACTTATATCATTTATACAAAAGTAAAACTAAAAGTTCTACGTTAATTAATTAGAATTAACCACAATTAATTTTTAATTAAATTTAATGAATTCCGACAAAATTTGCTTATTTCTGTGAATAAGATCATTCATTCATCTATTCTTTAAAATCTAGATATTTACTGATATTACAAATTATTATCGATGCATTTATAAATAATTGAAGTAAAACTAATAAACTTTTATTGTCACTAAAATCGGCGCAATCAATTCTATAATTCAATATATCTGTAGTTATTTTACGTTTTGAACTTTTCTGTTGTATATAAATATTAAAAACGGCAAAAAAGTCTGAAGTAAAAATTGAATAAAAATACTTTGTAGGCGTTTCTGCATATAAAGCAAACATTAAACCAAGATAAACTTTGCAATTGTCTGTTTCAGACAATCTGTGATTTAAAAACTCCTACAGGTCAAACGAAGACATCAATTACTTCGGCGCAAGGCAAAGGATATTAAACACTGTTAAAGAAGTACCCACTACAAAAGCAAAATCTGAATAAAAAAAATTATGCATTACATGCATATTGATGCACTGCATCAAGTAACCTCTCAATTTATGTGCTTATGCCATTTAAACACATAAAGCGAACTATCCGAAATAATTTCAAAATAAAAAAGAAACAAATATGTCGATACTCATAGCAGTCGCACATGCTCCTTCCTCGTCATCATCCATTGAGGCGCTTATGCACTTCATGCGTTGATTGTTTTATTATGATGATGTTAAATTACAATAATCCAGCAGTTGAATCGTAATCGCATTTGTGTGGGTTGTCGTCATCATAGCCATCTGTGCCTTTGGTAACTGCAACTGCTCCGGCAGCATAAGGAAAGCAGCAATCTCATTGCTATGCTGTTCCATGTTTGCTGTAGCAATTCAACAAAAGAAATTTTAAGATTTCTATATAACTTATTTTTTTAGTACATAACACATGCATATTTTTTTGTCATTATCTACTAAAGATACGGTTACGTTATGGAAGATATCTCTTTAGATATGATACTCTTATAATTTTAATATCGAATTCGTTAAAGTTCATAATTTTTCTTTTTAATAATAATATTTTGTGATATTAAAAAGTAAAATCTGAATTAGAAACAAATTGCAATCACTTACTTAATATTTTTTTTTTTTTATTTATATAGTTTTTCGGCGTAACATAGGCTATTAAAACATTCGATATTAGTTATAATTTTAATTAAAATAATAAATTTAATAATTTCCGTTTCAAACTGTCCGACAGTTTGTGTGTGTGGGTGAATGATACTGATTTTCTTTTTATTTTTTTCAAATAAAAAAAATTTATTACATTAGCATAGATTTCAATATATTTGAAAAATTAAACTGGATATATATACATTTGCTTAATAATTAGAATAGAGGAAAAAGGTATTTTTCTTATTAATTGTAGCTGTGCTTAAAGCAAAAATGCCAAGATTTAAGAATTGAATAAACAACAAAATATTTTTGGGCAATACGCAAGAACTTTACTTTATTCGGAAGTTCCAACATATTTCACATGGAACAAAACTTTAAAAAAGTGGCAGCCACGTAAACGAGGTGTTGCAGTCAATGGTTATCCAGGATTATTTTCAGCAAACACACTGGGTCGTTTATATACTGTTCATCCAAAACAACGAGTGTTTTTTTTTAAGACTGCTTTTAATAAATGTACGCGGTCCAACATCGTATGAGTATTTGAGAACTGTCAATGGTCAGCTATACAATACATCTCATGATGCATGTAGAGAATTGCAATTGCTGGAAAGCGATAATCATTGAGACATTACGCTCCGGCATGCAGTATTAAGTTCTTTTCCACATCAAATTCGTCAATTATTCGCCATATTGTTGACAACATGTTTTCTAAATAATCCCAAAGAATTGTGGGAAAAATATAAATGCTCAATGAGTGAAGATATACTACATAGACATAGAACAACAAATCATGACTTAAATATTCAATTCAATCGTGAAATTTATAACGAAGCTTTGATTATGATCGAAGACTTATGTTTACTTATATCAAATCAACCACTTAAATTATTAGGATTGTATTCGCCAAATCGTTTGGCAACTGATATGCAGCGCGAACTTCAGTATAGCTCTGAAGATTTGGTTGAATTTGTTACATGAAGCGAACAAATGTTAACACACCAACAAAAGCTCATTTATGATCGGGTTTCGAACGCAATTGCGGCAAAAGAAGGCGGCTTTTTTTTCTTGGATGCACCAGGTGGAACTGGAAAAACTTTCTTAATTTTAGTCATTTTTGCAAAGGTTAGGATGCAAGGTAATATCGCTTTAGCACTTGCATCATCTGGAACCGCTGCGACATTGTTAGATGGTGGTAGAACAGCCCATTCGGCACTAAAGTTGCCACTAAACATACATTCATGTGAAAATGCACTATGCAATATAAAAAAACATTCCAATATGGCTAAAGTACTTCAAAAATGTCACATCATTGTTTGGGATGAATGCACAATGGCACATAAGTATTCATTGGAAGCATTAAATCGAACACTTAAAGATTTAAATGCCAACGATAGACTTTTTGGAGGCGCTTTAATTTTATTGGCAGGTGATTTTAGACAAACATTGCCAGTTATTCCACGTTCAACCTATGCTGATGAAGTCAATGCTTGCCTCAAATCATATATTTTGTGGCGAAATGTCCATATATTGCGACTTACCGAAATCATGCGTGTTGGACTACAGAGGGATTTAGCTGCAGAACTATTTGCCAAACAATTGATGGATATTGGTAATGGAAACGTAAGTCTTCATGAAAATACGCACTTTATTAAATTGCCAGAAAATTTTTGTAAAATTGTTAATTCGAAAGAGGAATTAATAGAAAGCGTATTTCCTCACATATATCAAAATTTTCAGAACCATCAGTGGCTTCAAAGTAGAGCGATTCTGGCTGCCAAGAACTTAGATGTCGATGAAATCAATTCCAAAATTCAAGCTATGCTACCTGGTAATTTAATTTCGTTAAAATCCATCGACACAGTGGTAGATGAAAACGAGATTGTGAATTATCCCACTGATTTCTTAAATTCGCTTGATTTGCCAGAACTACCACCACACAATTTAGTTTTAAAAGTTGGTTCACCAATCATTTTATTACACAATCTAAACCCACCAAAATTATGTAATGGAACAAGATTAGTAATTAAAGGAATTATGGGGAATTTAATTGAATCAACAATATTAAGTGGAAAATTCAGAGGAGAAAATATATTACTTCCACGCATACCAATTATACCAACCGATGTTCCAATTCAATTCAAACGATTGCAATTTCCAATTCGTTTAGCATTTGCGATGACAATTAATAAATCTCAATGTCAAACATTAAAAGTATGTGGACTGAATTTGGAAAATACATGTTTTTCGCATGGGCAACTATATGTTGCATGTTCCCGTATTGGAAAACCTTCTGATCTATATATGTATATACGGTCAAAATGGCTTAACAAAAAATATTGTTCATGATTTATTTTAAGATAACATGTAATCTAAACGTGTAATCTAACGAGCCAATAAATAAATATATTAAATAGGTCTGAACTATGGACCTGAAAATCATATTATATATATTTAGAATTAAATCAAGAACGCGAGAAACTATTAAATTCAAATTCATGCAAAATTGTTATATTATTCTGTTTAATGAATTATTTTTATTTAGACATATTGAATTAATTGCTGCAAGTTAATTGCTAGACTCATTAAATTTGATGAATGTTACCAATATATGAATGAGCTACAATTCAGTTTGGGCAATGAAGCGTAAAACGAAAACATTGGACCCACTTTAATTTTAAAACAGCAAAAAAACACAAGTGCAAAAAAAGATTTAATGATTAATAAGTTTATTTAACACTTACTTTTGTCTCAATGTCGTTTGTATATTTCTTATCCAAATGCACCTTTATATATAATTTGGGTGCCATCCAATTTGGCACGAATACGTTTGCCTACGATCTCTGCTGAAAACACTAAATCTTCTAAAATAAAATACACAGCAGTTAAACTACGCGAACGGATTATTGCACCGTCTTGTTTTTACGAAAACTTTGTAGTTACTCGTTCACTATCTAAGTCTTTACGGTGCTGATATAACTCTTCCTCTTCAAGTGGTCCTTGCAAACCCTTATGAAATATATTTCTCATCCACCAGAAACTCCATCTCGAAAATATATGAGCGGTTGAGTAGGGATTCTTTGGGCGTTCAATTTTTCTTCTAGTCCGATTCATGTTAAATTTCTTTATTTACAGTTACGTTTGATTATGATAAACCAAAAATGTAGTAATAAATTCGAAGTTCAAGAAATGAAGATAACCGACACGAGCACCACTCAATATGGTAAATGCAACAAAAATTTCTTAAATCGTGAATAACAGTAAATAACAATGCAAAAAATTTACAACACTTTTTCAATGTTACAACAAAACTTTATAGACAATGTACGATAATCACGCGTACTCGTTCTCGTATTCGTACAACAGAAATTATTTTCAAATAATTCCTTATGCAAATCATGCAAAATTGTTATATTATTCTGTTTAATGAATTATTATTATTAAGACATATTGAATTAATTGCTGCAAGTTAATTGCTACACTCATTAAATTTGATGAATGTTACCAATATATGAATAAGCTACAATTCAGTTTGAGCAATGAAGCGTAAACGAAACATTGGACCACTAATTTTAAACAGCAAAAAACACAAGCGCAAAAAAAGATTTAATGAAATAAGTGTTATTTAACACTTACTTTGTGCTCAATGGTCGTTTGTAGATTCTTATCCAAATGCACCTTTATAATTTGGGTGCCATCCAATTTGCCACAAATACATTTGCCTACGATCTCTGCTGGAAACACTAAATCTTCTAAAATAAAATACACAGCAGTTAAACTACGCGAACGGATTATTGCACAGTCTTGTTTTTACGAAAACTTTGTAGTTACTCGTTCACTATCTAAGTCTTTACGGTGCTGATATAAGTCTTCCTCTTCAAGTGGTCCTTGCAAACCCTTATGAAATATTTTTCTCATCCACCAGAAACTCCATCTCGAAAATATATGAGCGGTTGAGTAGGGATTCTTTGGGCGTTCAATTTTTCTTCTAGTCCGATTCATGTTAAATTGTAGTAATAAATTCGAAGTTCAAGAAATGAAGATAACCGACACGAGCACCACTCAATATGATAAATGCAACAAAAATTTTTTAAATCGTGAATAACAGTAAATAGCAAATGCAAAAAATTTACAACACTTTTTCAATGTTACAACAAAACTTTATAGACAATGTACGGTAATTACGCGTTCTCGTATTCGTACAACAGAAATTATTTTCAAATAATTCCTTATGCAAATCATGCAAAATTGTTATATTATTCTGTTTAATGAATTATTATTATTTAGACATATTGAATTAATTGCTGCAAATTAATTGCTACACTCATTAAATTTGATGAATGTTACCAATATATGAATGAGCTACAATTCAGTTTGAGCAATGAAGCGTAAAACGAAACATTGGACCACTAATTTTAAACAGCAAAAAACACAAGTGCAAAATAAGATTTAATGAAATAAATAACACTTACTTTGTGCTCAATGGTCGTTTGCGGGTTGGTTTTGGCAAAATCTTGCGTTCTCCTATCACTACAACATGCTTTCCAGAGAACTTTTTTTCAAGTTCACGCACCAAAATAATTTGTATCTTTTGAAAAGTTTTTTGTTGTGGAATTGGTACATAAATTATAACAGCCTACAACAACAAAATAACAATATTAATGAAACTAAGTTTTAAAAAATGTGCATACCTTTTTAGTACCGAATTCAATTTCAAGGGCTCGAGTTATGTGCAAATCTCTCAAATAAGGTTTTAAGTCGCTATTTGCTTCAAGTTCCGAAAGTGCTTGAGCAATCGACTTTTCGAAATCATCTGGCTCTATACCGCCTGGTTTCACTATTTTCGAACCAATCATCTGCAAAATAATTTGTATAAACAATAAATTAAGAAACAATAAAACGATTTCCTTTCATCGCTATAGAATTAAAAACATCAACACAATCTGAAAGCATCCTCGCAATTAAATGTTAATTTATTCCAAAAATAAAGTCAACTTCTTAACGTTTATTACCACAAATTTTTATTTCTTAAAGTGAGTTTAAACGTTCAGATTGGTTTTTTTTTACCCTATTGCAAAATTAGCCCATCCTTGGTCAAAAGTTTTGACAGAAAGGAAGTACATTTTTGCCACTGAACAATAAATTAACACAACACAAGTGCAAAATAAGATTTAATGAAATAAATAACACTTACTTTGTGCTCAATGGTCGTTTGTTGGTTCTTATCCAAATGCACCTTTATCAATTGGGTGCCATCCAATTTGACACGAATACGTTTGCCTACAAACACTAAATCTTCTAAAATAGCTTCATACACAGCATCATACACCAACAAATTGAATGGCTCGAAGTGTAACATTAAATCGCCTCAAAAGTTGACGTGTATAAGAGTAATTAAGGAAAAATTATAGAAAAATGTTTAACAAAATGGAAACTGCCTTGAAGGCAAATATTGCAAAAAATCACAAAAATTCAAACAAATATTGCTAAATTAAATTTTTATTTACAATACTATCGCTATTGTTATGTCAAGAAATGTTTAGCAAAAATATGAAACCATAGTAAAACAAACAACAATTTCCACACAACTTATATATTACAAAAACATATTCAGAAAATACACTTACAAAAATTATTTTATATAAAAAAAATATTTTTCTATTTTCTGTTAAAAGTAAAGAAAATGTGTTGGAAACACAGCATTTTCGCTAACCACTTTTCACACGAACTGATTATTACCGCGTCTTATTTGCACGAACCGCCGACACAGACTAATTCTCATTTCACAAGCGTCATCGCATTTAATCTCTCTAAGAATACAGCAAAATTATTCTCTTTAATTATTGTTATATTTGTAGCATGCCCTTATTGCCTTTGTGTTACTTGCGTACTTATGTATTTGCTCCTCTCTATTGTAGTGTTTTGGAATTTTGTTTACCACATATCCGCAGTTGATGGTGTTAGTATTTAATATGGAGTATGCAGGGTTTTTTTAGTTTTATTATAAGATAATAATCAAAACATGATTTGAAATGCACAGGGTCATTCACTAAAAGAGATGGAAATTTTTTAATATTATATATTTATTGTTTCTTTTATATGTTTATTAGGGGTGTTCAGGCAACTGATTAGTTGCTTAGTTGATTTAAAAACTTCATATAAAAAAATTTTAGCATTTTGATGTTAATCAGTTGCTTGAACGACCCAAAATGCGTGATCTGATTAGTTTGTTGTGTGTAAATGGCTTGGCAGCACTCGCATCAACAGCAAAAGCGAAATTTCTATACAAAAGTTCATTTTAAGTTATTATTACTGCACTTGGTACTGGCAGCACCATTAATCAAATTTGTACTAATATGAGAATCACCGATATAGTTGATTCTCTGCTTAGTTTCAATTTTGTGTGCAAATTTTTGTTGTAATCAACTATCAAGCAACTAATCAGTTGCCTGAATACCCCTAATGTGTTTTTAAATTATTATTGAATATATTATATTTTTATTGTATGTTTCATATGTTTTATGTGTTTTTATATTAATATTATATATATTAAATTTTTATTGTATATTTTATATGTTTATTGTGTTGTTATATTATTATTGAATATATAATAAATATATCATGCTTTCGGTGATGATAACGGGTAAATGGTGTACTGTAGAAATTAACTTCTTAAGCAAAAAATTTACGCATTAATAAAATAAAACCTTTGCATTTATTTTAATGCATAACCCTGTAAATTTCTAATCAATTTGCCTTTGATTACCAACACAATAGGTTTTGTACAAAATTTTAAAGAAAACATAACATATGTATACCATATTAATGGGCACACAAGTACACATACACAGTTATTAGTATGCCTACGAATGGAATCATAGGGAAAAAAAACCTAATGTGATGAGCAGACGGAGAAACGGCACCAACCCATCTTCTCTTCTTCATTCTTATTGCACACTCCAAAAGATTTTGTGTTAAAGAGTATGTGAGGCAATATTTCTGAACATGATGCCTGGTTTGTTTTTTGTATATTTTTCATGAAATATTTGATTTGTTTTCTGTACAGTTTTGATTACTGTAGTTCTCTCATATTATTACTTATTATTTTTAAAGCATTTCATTATTGGCGCCGTAATACTTGCCTACTTGAGTCCTTTAATCGCTGTGTCGTGTTTCGCAGTAATAGCATGCCTACGATGGTAGTCATAGATTAAAAAACCAAAACAAAAAACAAAACATAATTTGAAGAGCACAGGGTCATCCATTAAAAAAGATGGATTTTTTTAATATCATATATTTATTCCTTCTTTTATATACACACAGCAGAAGAAGTCTGCGGTCACCCACACCATTTTTTATTAAATTTCGGATAATTTTTTTAATTTTTACTCAAATTGATATTTGTTTTCTGATTTATTTTAACCAAAGAAACAACAATAAAGTTTAAACATAAACAATTAACAGTTATTCTTAAAAAAAAAAAAATTAAACACAATTAAATGCAAAAACAACAATTTTCAAAGCAGAAAAAGTTTGCGGTCTCTTATTAATATTTAATAATATTTTAATTAAAACAATTAAAATTCACAGAAACTTACAATTTAATAGCCTGTGGAATAACCTCTGCGTTTAATACCCTCTTTTAGACGTTTTTGTATGGACTTAACCAGTTTTGTAGTATCCTGTGCTATAAAAGCAGTATAGAAGAGTCATGATCGAATTATTAGCGATGGAAATTAAATGGAAATTTCAACAGATTAATATTTTTGTTTGTGTTTTGCTATAAGCCAACGAGTATGGATTTCTTCTTTTTGTTTTCGTTTTAAGGGAATATGTACGCATTATTTCTTTGTTGGTGCAAGCATGTTGACATGCTTTCCAGTTGCATTAGCAATGTGTTCGACTAATTTTAAGGCACTTACTTTCGGATTTTTGTTAACTTCTTTTAAAACCAAGCTGACATCCCTACGTATGAGTATCCTTGGGCGGCCACTGCGAGGTTTATTTTCAGGAGAACCAGTATTTTTATAATTTCTTATTATCGTCTGAACTGTTGATCGAGTCAAATTTACTAATTTTGATATTTTCTCCATAAGGTTTTTTTTCATTTCTATGCTTAATAACCAGATTTCGCATATCACTTGAAATTCTTTTCGTGGACCCATCGTGTCAATTAAATACCACTCTCAAAGCACAACTAAGTGCATTATATAAATGTATGACTCATGTCACAAGCATGAAATATGAAAAACGGTACTTTCCCGTTTAACATTTAAATTACTGTCGACTATATCTAACAATCAATGAAGTGTATGTAGACTTTTGTCAATGATTTTTTTAGGTTTTTTTCGAATAACTTTGTTAATTTATATTGATGAATGGATTTTCTTTTGTTTATTATTATTAAAAAACAGTTCTAAACAAAACTGTATCATTACTTTTTTCTATTATGTCCTTGGATTTACGAGCTAGCAAAAATGGGGGGTGTATGTAGAGTTTTGTCGCTGACTGTAATTTATACCCATCATCAGTATTCAATATTTTTTATTAGTCAAACATACATACATATGTATATCAAACTGAAACTGAAGCTGAATTTTTTAACAAATTTCGTTTCATCATTATTGCAATTATTAACAAAATTTGAAGTTAACAGGGTCATCTATTAAAGAATATGGATTTTGACTAAAAAATTTATTAAATAAAATATACATATGTATGTATTTTACATGACGACTTTGATTTTTTTAACAATATTGACCATGAAATTACGGGACTTTATTTACATCAATAATCTTTTGATGTAAACAAAGTCCCGCAAGCAGAGTGACAAAAAAATTTAACAAAACAAATTTCTAATTGTTGTTTACATTGCAATGAAATTTAATAAAAATACCTACATAACATAAAAAATGCGTGTGCAATATTTTCCTTAAATTTGTTTATGCACGCCAACAAAAGAAATAGTTACTACAAATTTAACAAATTTTTGCTAGTAACAAAAAAATAATCAATACTAAATTGTTCTTATATTCTTCATTTTATTTATTCTACTCTAAATGATTTTGTATGAAAGAGTATGTGAGGCAATATTTCTGAAAATGATGCATGGCTTTGTTTTTGTATATTTTTCCTAAAATATTTCCTAAAATATTTTTCTGAAATATTCATATATACATATGGTATGTACATACATATATGAATCACAAAAAATCACGTTTGACTGATTTGTTTAGAAAAATGAATAAGGATAATAATGGTTTAATACCACGTGCCGAATTCATATATGGAATAATAAGTACGATTATTTATATAATGTAGAATAACTAAATAATGTAGAATACCTATTATTTATTTTTTAAAGAATTTGACACTTCTCGAATGGAAATGGGTGCACTGGCAGATCTTTTTGATCGTAATGGTGGAGACCCGATTGGCAAGAACGCAAACCAGCAACTGATTCAGATAAAAGACATGATGAAGTTAAACGCCTTGTTATCCTTTGCACATGTCGACAATAATTCCGCGTATTTCAAGTTGGCGAAGGGAAATATAGGATTCGTAAAATACTATTTATCGGATCTTAAAGCTTAATACTCCATCTTCTTTTTAAAATAATATTATTTTTGTATAAAACAGTTTGGCGACTCGACTCTCAAAAATTACGTTTGGTGCGAATATTGCGTAGCACAGTTATGGTTCGTGTAGGTGGCGGCTGGCTTGCACTTGATGAGTTCTTATAAAAAATTTTCCTTGTCGCGGTAAGTAAATAGTTAAGAATTTTGTACTTTCTCATATTGAATAAACATAATTAAAATATTCATATGCTTATAATTAAAACATTGAACAATGTACAATTTTACTATGAAAGCATGTTAATGCTTGTTATGTAAATGTAATAATAATGTTATATTACGCTAAAGAAATGTTTTAATTATAAACATATGAATATTTTAATTATGTTTATTCAATATGAGAAAGTACAAAATTCTTAACTATTTACTTACCGCGACAAGGAAAATTTTTTATAAGAACTCATCAAGTGCAAGCCAGCCGCCACCTACACGAACCATAACT